CTCAAAAGCCACATACTATTAGATTCAAAAACACAGATGTGTTCAGCTCAGCAGCTTGAGATCACTATGCAATCTTGCATTGCACAGTTCAGATACTAGAAAAAGCCTATCAAGAAATTTATCATTCTTTTAAAAAAATTTGTTTAATAGAGATGGGGTCTATGATGCTGAAGCTGGTCTTGAACTCCTGGGCTCAAGCGATCCACCCATGTCAGCCTCCCTAAGTGCTAGAATTATAGGCATGAGCCACTGCACCTAGCCCCCAAAATTTATCATTCTGAAAACTTGTATGGGGAGAGGATTTATTCTAGGGGATGGACAGAGTCTCTTGAAAGATAATTGTATGAAAGCGAAGAACATTAAAGTTTACATTTGTTGGATACATTAACCTCAAAAGTCTTCAAAAAATGAAGACCCACTTGCAGATACGGATTTCTTTTTCCTTTTACTATGTTTCTAACCTTACTTTTGGTCTTTGTTCATAATACATGTTTTCTTCCTTTCCTGGCTTCCCATCCTTAAGTCATTTCATCTAGATACATGCAGACCATCTGTTCTTCCAAAACAACGAGGGACGGGGTGGGAACAAGAGGCGCAGTGTGAACTGAAAGCCAGGAAAAACCTTGCAGTTTGTTGGCTGCTGGTGACCTACCCTGCAGCCCCCTGGGGAACAACAGGGAAACAACAGCTTGTATCCATTTGAGAAAGTGGCATTGGCTGCCGAAGGGGAAATGAGAGGCTGTTAAGCTCTCTTCCTAGACAGGGAAAAACAATGCAGATGGTGGGTGGTGTGCTGGAATGCACACATGCTGTGCCTCAGGATCAAACACGTGGAGGTTTAAAATTTATTGAAGTAGAACATCAGAGGTTCCAACATTAGTAGAAAATAGGTTGGATAAAATAAAATATAAGCCAATAATTTGAAGTGCTTCCAAATATGCAATTAGAACTTTTCTACATTATGATAATTTTGTAATAGCCTATGTCTTTCCTCAGAAGATCCACCCATGACCTTGGGGATTGATTACATGTATATGGCACCCCAGGAGTGCACCCACAGGATTGTCCCAGCTTAAGATACCAGTTGAGTATCCGTTATCTAAAATGCTTGGGACTAGCAGTGTTTCAGATTTTTGGATTATTTCAGATTTTGGAACATTTGTGTTACACTTACTGGTTGAGCACCACTAATCCAAAAATCCAAAATTCTGGCCAGGTGCTGTAGCACCTGTAATCCCAGCACTTTGTGAGGCCCAAGGCTGGCAGGTAGCTTGAGCTCAAGAGTTCAAGAACATCCCAGGCAACATAGGGAGACCCCGTCTCTACAAAAAAATGCAAAAATTAGCCAGGCATGGTGGTACATGCCTATAGTCCCAGCTACTCATGAGGCTAAGGCAGGAAGATCGCTTGAGCACAGGAGATCAAGGCTTCAGTGAGCTGTAATTGTGCCACTGTCATCCAGCCTGAGTGACAGTGCGAGACCCTGTTTAAAAAAAAAAAAAAAAATCCAGAATGCTCCAATGAGCATTTCCCTTTTGCATGATCTTTGAGCATCATGTTGTTGCTCAAAAAGTTTTGGATTGCCGGGCACAGGGGAGCATGCCTGTAGTCCCAGCTACTTGGGAGGCTGAGGTGGGAGGATCGCTTGAGCCCAGGAGTTCTGGGCTGTAGTGCACTAAGCCGATCGGGTGTCCACACTAAATTTGGCATCAATATGGTGACCTCCCAGGAGCAGGGGACCACCAGGTTGCCTAAGGAATGGTGAACCAACCCAGGTCAGAAACGGAGCAGGTCAAAACTCCCGTGCTGATCAGTAGTGGGATTGCGCCTGTGAATAGCCACTGAACTCCAGCCTGGGCAACATAGTGAGACCCAATCTCTAAAAAAAAAAAAAAAAAAGTTTTGGATTTTTGGGCCAGGTGCAGTGGCTCACGCCTATAATCCCATCACTTTGGAAGGCCAAGACAGAGGGATCACCTGAGGTCAGGAGTTCGAGACCAGCCTGGCCAACATATAGTGAAACTCCATCTCTACTAAAAATACAGAAATTATCTGGGCATGGTGATCCATGCCTGTAGTCCCAGCTACTTGGGGAGCTGATGCAGGAGAATTGCTTGAACCTAGGAGGCGGAGGTTGTAGAGAGCCAAGATCATGCCACTGCACTCCAGTCTGGGTGACGGAGGGAGACTCTGTCCCTCAGCAACAACAGAAAAAAAGTTTTGGATTTTGAAGCATTTCAGATTTGGGGTTTTGGGATTAGCGATGCTTAACCCTGCATACACTTGACCCCTACAGCCACATAATGTCTAGCTGTTGCCCTTGAAAATTCAACCCTAATGAAGGTCCTTGAGATACTACCTTCAAAGTTCCCTAGCCTTAGCATAGTAGATCTTTAGTTAATAAAGTTTGAACAAATAGGACATTAGTTCAAGTCTGTTTCCATTAGCAGTTTTGTGTGTAAAGAAAAACGGCTCTCGGGCCGGGTGTAGTGGCTCACACCTGTAATCCAAGCACTTTGGAGGCCAAGGCGGGTGGATCACCTGAGGTCGGGAGTTCAAGACCAGCCTGACCAACATGGTGAAACCCTGTCTTTAAAAAAAGAAAAATAGCTCTCCATGGCTCCCTCCAGCCATGTTTAAGACCTTAGAAATAAGGCAGTCCTACCTCAGAAATGCCTAAAAACCTAAAAGTAGAGGTGCTGCCCAAAATCAAATTACAGAGCTGAAGCAGTAAGCTTTGAAGTGGCCATACTACATGGACAAGCAGAAGTTGATGATTTTTAAGCCCTTTCAGATTCCAGTCACTTAAAAATAATCATAATAGAGCCCATTACCAAAAGACAAGTCTGAGTTTTCAAAGAACATTAATAAAAAATATTAATCTGAGCATTGGAATTGTTGCTTGGGCATCTAGAAATTGCACTGGAAATTGACCTTGCTGTCTGAAACACCAGAGGCGAGGGCTTGTGCCTCTGTGGAAAACAGATAGTAAAGGCATGTTGTAAGCCTTGAGCAACCTGCAGCTGCTGCCAGTGTTACAAACAAGAACGTTTTCAACCATGAATCCATCTGGTGAGATAAAACTGAAAATTAATCTAATATCAACATGTGGGATTGCCCCACAGCTGTGAAATCTTCCAGATAAGGACAGAATGAACACTCTTAAATCACTGAAGTCTGGCATGGAGAGCAGGGAGCACAGCCTTCTTTCATATGCCTTGAAGAAGCCCATAGATGCACTTTTACCCAAGTATCAGATTTCACTGAAAATCTGATTTAAACATGGCAAAAAGTCTGCCTATTTAGAAATTTTTGTCAGTCCTCCACTTTGTTTCAGGATGGAAAATTGAGCCATAAATCAAACTTAACTTGAACCCTGACAACTTCTGGTATTGTCAAAAATTAATCAGCTCTGTAGAATGATGGCGTGACAAACATGAAATATTGAGTGACGTTGAAAAAGAGGCTTTCACTTAATATTGTTGACGTTCATTTCTTTGGACATAGTTTTGCTTCTCATTTAAATGTGACTAAGCACCATGGCTGTATAAGTTTATTCAAAACAACACAGTGCTGTTCTACAGAGAGCAGATGTACTATTGCTTAGAAGTAAGAAATGGTGTGGTGTTGAGAGATAGTCTTTGGACCCAAATAGGGCTGAGTTCAAATCCCAGCTCTGTCACATGTAGCTGCATGTTACCTCAGTTTTCTCATCTGCAGAGTGGAGCTAATAATAGCAGCTTCATAGGCTGTTATACTGATTAAACAAGGCCAGGCCCAGTGGCTCACATCTATAATCCCAGGACTTTAGGAGGCCAAGGCAGACAGATTGCTTGAGTCCAGAAGTTCGAGACCAGCCTGGCAACGTAGTGAGACCCCCATCTCTATTTTTTAGAAAAAATAATTTTAAAAAAGAACATACGAGTGAGGTACGTGGCCCATAGTACATGCTCAGTAAATGGTCGCTGTTAAGCCAGGCATGATGGCTCATGCCTGTAATCCCAGCACTTTGGAAGGCTGAGGCCAGTGGATCACCTGAGGTCAGGAGTTCAAGACCAGCCGAGCCAACATGGAGGAACCCCGTCTCTCCTAAAATTACAAAAATTAGTGAAACGTGGTATGCGCCTGTAATCTCAGCTACTCAGGAGGCTGAGACAGGCGAATCGCTTGAACCTGGGAGGCAGAGGTTGCAGTGAGCCAAGATGACGCCATTGCACTCCAGCCTGGGTGATGAGTGAAACTCTGTCTTAAAAAAGGAAAAAAAATGGTCACTGCTATAGGTTGGTACAAAAGTAATTGTATTAAAATACAGTTCTATGTCTTGCTCACTGACACAGTCTCACCACTGAGGAAACAAATGTAGGTGTCTATCAACTTACCGAGCTAGCTGAAGAAATGAGAACTGAAAGAGAATTCACTCTTAACTTTCTTATTTCGTGTCTTATATGTAAGTCCTACCTCTATCGATGTCCTAACATTTTATTGCTATTTTGGGGAAAACTTGAAAATATATTACTCTTCTTTAAAATTATACTCTCAAACCTTTATGAATTTTTTAGAAATAAATATTATTATCTTTAAAGCAAAATTAGGAATGCTTCTGTTTTCAAGATAATCAGGATATCAGGACATTGCCGAGTCTGGGTCTGTTTAGTAAATGTTATCAATCTGTTCCATTAACCATAAACATCCAGATGCTAGGAATACCTAACTTAACTGGAAATGCAGCCCAGCAAGTCTCAGCCTCATTTTTCCTAGCTCTCACTCAAAATGACGTTGCTCTGGTTTGACTGTCTCTGACAATAGTAAGTGGCAGATCTGGGATAAGAACCTAGATCTTCTGTTTCTTCGTTTTTCCATATCTTACTGAGAAATGTAGCTCAAAAATACAGTCCCAGTCATCAGCTATTTTCTGCCATCAAACACAGCTGATCATTTCCTGTTCCATGTCAAAATACTTTCCGTTGACCCCAGGAACACTCTTTCTGTTTCCCTCGCAGTTTGAACGCCATGACCCTGTGGATGGGAGAATTACTGAGAGGCAGTTTGGTGGCATGCTACTTGCCTACAGTGGGGTGCAGTCCAAGAAGCTGACCGCCATGCAGAGGCAGCTCAAAAAGCACTTCAAAGAAGGAAAGGTAGGTAGCTTTGGCTGGAGGAAGAAAAGAAACCATGGGAATGTATGGTTATTATGTAATATAAAGGTACTAACATAATGATGAGAATGTTTCAGGAATCAACAATTACACCTAATTCATTTCTGGTACCTGAGGTCCAAAGGGAGAAAAGAAATAGGCAACAGGTGAGGAAGAGGAGAGCATCCAGAATCACCCCAGGTTTTTTGTTCAGGAAACGGTAGCACAAACTGAGATTGAGAATTTTGAAGGAGAGACTGGTTTATATGGTAAAATAAAGAGTTCAGTCGTGGACATCTTAAATTTAAGATGCCTGTGGACTAAAGTAGAGATGGTCGGCAGGCAGCTGCATATTCACATTACCTCAGAGGTCTGAGATAGATTTGGGAATCGTCAACACATATCAGAATTACAACCATAAAAACAATTGCCCAAGGAGGATGTTTTGCAGAAAAGAAATGTGGGCCAAGGACAAAATCCAATGGGACACAAACATTTATGCAGCTCAGGAAGCAAATCTAGAAGAAATGGTTAGAGAATATTCTAGTGGCTCATGCCGGTAATCCCAGCACTTTGGGAGGCCAAGGCGGGTGCATCACTTGAGGTCAGAAGTTCAAGACCAGCCTAGCCAACATGGTGAAACTCCATCTCTACTAAAAATACAAAAATTAGCAGGGCATGGTGGCATGCACCTGTAATTCCAGCTACTCGGAGGCTGAGGCATAAGAATCACTTGAAACCCGGAGGCAGAGATTACAGTTAGCAGAGATCACACCACTGCACTGCAGCCTGGGCAACAGAGACTCCATCACAAAAAACAAAACAGAACAGAGAATACCTAAAGAGAGTAGTGAAATCAAAGCCAAGGAAGTAGAGGGTTCAAGAACTGAGGGATCTAAGGTGTCACATATGAAAGAGAGGATCCTGTAAGCTAAAGGTGGTAATATCCATTGGTTTTGGTGAAATGGCAGTAATTGGTGACCTTTGAGAGGGGTGTTTCATTAGAGTGGTCTAGTTGGAAAGCTTATTTGATTAAAAGTACAGAAGCAGAGAAAGGAGAGAGGTGGAAGAGGAGGCGTTGGAAAGTGGAAAATCACATAGGCAAATTCCGAGGCAGTGTATTAGCCTACTTGGCTGCCGTAACAAAATGCCACAGACTGGGGTGGCTTTAACAAGAGAAATTTATTTTCTCATACTCCTAGAGGCCGCAAGCCTGTGATCAAGGTGCCAGCTGATTTGGTTTCTGATAAGAGCTCTCTTCTGGACTTGCAGGTAGCTGACTTTTCAACAGGCTTTCCTCAGTGTGTGTGCATGCAGAGAGAGAGAAATTTCTTTGGTGTTTCTTCTTATAAGAACACTAACCCTCGCAGATTGGGGCCCCATCCTTGTGACCTCATTTAGTCTTGTTATTTCCTCTAAGGCCCCATCTCCAAATACAACCACATTGGGCACACTGGGGGTTAGGAAGGGCTTCAACATATGAATGGGGTGAGGAGTGAAGGGGAGTCACAAACATTCAGTTTATAACAGGCAGGAAAAACAAACCTGGCATGTGTGAAGAACTGAAAGGGGACTAGTTTGGATAGAGGGTACTGAGCAAAAGGGAGAATGGCCTGAACTGAGCTGAGAGAGGGATACCAGGACCAGAACATGTAGGACTTCATAGGGATGGAAGGAGTTTGGAGTTGACGCAAAGTGCAATGGGACACCATTAAAGAATTGTGAGTAGTGAAATGACATGGTTGTATCTACATTTAAAGAGACAACCCTAGCTGTTTTATGGATGATAGTTTGGAGGAGAGCAAGAATAGAAACAAAAAGACTGATGATAAGGCTATTAGAATTTAGGAGGAGATGAGTTAGAGTTTTTTGAGCAGCCTTGAGGTTGAAGACCATGGATTTGTGGAATACTAGCAACACTGCTCTCTAGAGGTACCCTTCAACACCAGCTACACCTGGTGCAAGGAAAGAAAAGATGGTGGCCAGATGTGGTGGCTCATGCCTGTAATCTTAACACTTTGGGAGGTCAAGGCAGGCAGATCACCTGAGGTCGGGGGTTCAAAGCCAGTCTGGCCAACATGGGGAAACCCTATCTCTACTAAAAATACAAAAATTAACCAGGCATGGTGGTGGGTGCCTATAATCCCAGCTACTTGGGAGGCTGAAGCAGGAGAATCATTTTAACCCAGGAGGGTGGAGGTTGCAGTGAGCCGAGATTAATCTCATTTCACTCCAGCCTGAGAGAAAGAACAAAACTCTGTCTCCAAAAAAAAAAAAAAGAAAGAAAAGAAAAGATGGTAGGACTGAGTCAGCATCTGAGAGTGAGATGAACAAATGGAAGCAGGTGAGTTAAAAGGTCAGGCCTCATAGGACATGGTGGCTTATGCCTGTAATCCCAGCAAATTGGGAAGCTAAGGCAGGAGGATCACTTGAGCCCAGAAGTTCAAAACCAGCCTGCGCAAAATGGTGAGACCCTGTCTCCACAAAAAATACAAAAATTAGCCAGGCTTTGTGGCACATGCCTATAGTCCCAGCTACTCAGGAGGCTGAGGTGGGTGGATCACCTGAGGTCAGGAGTTCAAGACCAGCCTGGCCATCATAGTGAAACCCCATCTTTTAAAAAAATAAAATAAAATAAAATAAAATAAATTCAGACCTCTAAGAGAACACACACACACAAAGCAGTGCTAGGGCTAGAACCCAGATCTTCTCATTCCTTGCCCAATACTCTTCTCACTGGGCAATGGTTACCATCTAGCCATGAGCAAGAATCTAACCTGGCACTAAAAATGTTCCATGAGAGACCGCCAAGTGTATTAGTCCATTCTCATGCTGCTAATAAAAACATGCCTGAGACTGGGTAATTTGTAAAGGAAAGGGGTTTGATGAACTCACAGTTCCATCTGGCTGGGGAGGCCTCACAATCATGGCAGAAGGCAAAGGAGAAGAAAAGACACATCTTACATGGCAGCAGGCAAGAGAGATAGCGTGTGCAGGGGAACTCCCCTTTATAAAACCATCAGATCTTGTAAGACTTATTCACTATCACAAGAAACAGCACAGGAAAGACCTACCCTCATGATCAATTACCTCCCACCAGGTCCCTTCCACACACACATGGGAATTATGGGAGCTACAGTTTGAGATTTGGGTGGGGACACAGCCAAACCATATCACCAAGGTAATGTGGTGTGGTAGGCATGAAGATGGAAAGACTTGAGATCAAGTTCAGCCTCAGAGGTTTCCATAGTCATTAGATAAATCACTTAACTTTATTGGCCTCATAAATAGAGAGGCTTATCCTAGATGCTCACTATAAGGGCCCTTCCAGCTTTAAAGATTCAATAATTGAAAATAAGATAGCAGATTCCTATTGCTTGTCCCAGTTTTCTTAGTCTTTGTGCAAGAAATCTTGCATGCATAGCATTGCCCCAACTTGGTGGAAAGCCTTTCTTATCAGCTAGAATTTTTCCTCCTTGTCTTGGATATTGAAAAGTTGAAAGGACCTCTGAACGAGGCTATGGGCTGCAAATGAGGGCAGGCTGGGCTCTGAGAGGAAGTGTCAGCTTTTCCGAACTCAGTCCAGCCTTTTCCCACAGCAAGTGTTCTCTTGGCTGTGGGGGAAACTCATCATTAATGGAAAGTGACAGAGAAAAAACATTTATCTCCCATAGAGCACTTCTACACTACCTGATACTTAGCTCATATCTGTTGGAAATGATAATTTCAGAAAATTGATTATGAATGTATAGGTGGATTTTTTAGCCCCTGTGCTGGAAGATTAGTGTTGGCATTCAGACATACTCCTTTATTTTGACCAGGCTTATTTTTAAAGGTTGGTCCAGATATTGATTTGACTTTATCTATCATGATAGGTGAATTCATATTTCATTATGAATTTATACTTAAAAGCAATAAATTGGGCATTGGCGGCATCTCCCTTGAAGTAATAGAGTGATTGAGCATTGACAGGAGTTAACTTAGTATCTGAAGACCTTGCTAAAGAGCTCTGAAATGAAAGGACAAATTTTGACAGATGATGAAAATCTGTGGTGTTAAATAACTTTTGGCCCAGAATTTCTAGCCTGCGTTAGCAAAGAGATTAAGATTGATTGTCCTCTCATGTTGATTAAATAGTTTGTGAATATAGTAATTAACTAAAGTGAGCATTAATGAAGGGCCTTTGCTCATAACGTTACCGACCATCTCTCTAGGACCATTTCTTATAAAAAGGGAATCACAGTCTGCCTGCTGATTGCTTCTTTTATTCCACTTTGGATTTGTTTTTTTTTTTTTTTTTTTTTTTTTT